TTTTTACAGAAATGACACTGAATTGCCTTCTTGTCCTTGTACCAACAATCATTTTCTAGATGGTTGGTCAAGCTGCAAATTTTACAAGGAGGAAATTTTGATTGCTTACCATGGTTTTGGTTTCCAAGTTGCTTCTCAATTGAGCTCTTCTCTCCAGTCTGCTTTCCTTTGTTATCAATTCTTGCTTTGGCTTTTATGAACAAGACTCCTTCTGTGCAATTAGTTTCCCTTATGTTGGCTCGCTGCTCCTGCGACTCCAGCTTATTGATAAGCTCAGCTGCAGTGATGGTATCAGTATCATTCAACTCTTCCAACACAGAGATTTTGGACTCAAACCGAGCTGGTAAACTGATTAGAATCTGTTCTACCACCCGTGAGTCAGGAAAGTTCTCTCTTAGCAGCCTTATTTTGTTCACAACATCCATCAACTTAGACGCGTGCTGTCTCACCATCTCATCTTCTCTCATCCGTAACATCACAAACTCCGCTTTTAGTTTCAGCAGCTTTGTTCTCCTGCTTCTGGTACCACCTTCAAATTCTTCTCTGATTTTGTCCCAAGCTAGCTTGGGAGTTTTTTAAGGCATGATCCTACTGAAAACCGTGTCTGAGATAGCTGAGTGAATGCAAGCAAGTGCACGAGGTTTCTTCATAAGTTCCTCTTCATGCCTTTTGATCTGAGTTAGGGACATAGTGCCCTGCAATGGAGGTGGCTCAGTGTCGTTGAGAACCACATCCTAGAGATTCAAAGATTGCAAATGAATCTCCATTTTCAGTGCCCAAACATGATAATTTTCGCTATTGAAGTGTGGAGGTGCAGATGAACCAGAACAGGTTGCCATTTTTGTAACGGGTTTTGGGATTTTTAGATTGGTGGGTAAGCTATATTCTTTTCACATATCCCTCAAGACAAGAGGCTCTGATACCATGTAGTATTTTTACATAGTAAATTGCTGTATGCAAAAGCTATTTACGTAGCTTTTGTAGAGAGAGAAAGTAAGAGAGAGAGATGGCACCGAAACAGAGTGCAACCCTGCAAACGCCTCTGTTTCGGTGCTTAGTTGATTTTTGAAGAAGCCAATTGAGGAAAAGGTCTGCACTTTTCATTTATATTTGCATGGCTTAAATAAGTCAGTTTACAACCATAAATCCTATTTTTTCGTGCAAGTTATAGGCTTGCAATTGAATTCAAATTCTACCCTATCTGATTACAATTAAATTCAAAACTGAAATTTAAAATTCAAATTTAAGCTGATAAGAATAAATTTTAACTGATTCTTAATAATCTAACACTGTACAGATTGTTTGTGCTTCCAATATTGTGCATAGAAAAGACAAATCAAAATTTTATGATATTTTTATTGGGTCTGGCTTCTGACTAACAAATATCAACTTTTCCTTGAAATTTAAAACTTTATTGGTCTGTCAAGATTCGAGATCTTATAAGAGACTAAATTAAATTTCCAAACATGCTGAACTAATTGCATCTTATTCCGCTACAGACATTATACTCCCAGTGTTCCCCAATAAAAGGAAAAAGAGACAATGCGCTACCAGAGCTTAATTACAATTTTGCAAGTAGAAAATGGCTAATTTAACAATATCATCAAACTAATTCGACAACAAACAATTTCCATAAAATTTTATTGGAGATGCCGAGAAACCCCATTTCTCAGCAACTGATTAACAGTTTTCTTCCCCCGTAATGAGCTAAAGAAGACAAAAGCAAGAAAAAAAAATCATTACAAGCTAAATAAACAATAATAATATTATTCGACAATCCATAGTATCATAACTCGGTAATTGATCTAGCATCGTAGATACACTGCCAAAAGAATTAAAATTTAACCAAAAAAAGAATTTCAAATTGAGAAGACTCGAGAAAAATGAAACAACAGAACCTGCAAGGGCGACGAGAAAGAAGAAATGGAACAAAATTGCAAGCAGAGGAGAATGGTTCCGATTTCCTTAAAGCAGCAACAGCCCGAGCACTCGCTG